TGGAGGAGAAGAGAAAGTTTTGATAGATGACTCTCGAAATTGAACGGTGTCACATAATTTGAAGGGATGGAATAGTTATTATTATTTATAATGTAACGAGTGGGCAAAACATAAACTCGCCCGTTTAAAGGTGGCCTCCGTCTGATCACTACGAGCCCATTTTGGTTCTTCAACCCTATTAAGTATTAACTTTGCAAATAGAAATTTAAAAAAAAAAGTAAAACAAAAGGAAATCTATGCAGTTCATTTAAGCTCGCTGTTTGGAAGATTAAAATTGTGAAAATAGTACCGGCAAGCCAGTTTTCGGACCGATAATTAAAAAAATAGTCAACGTTTGTAAAATTATTGAAAAATAGTCACTATTTTGTTACAACACGGAAAGTTCCAGCATAATATACTGGAGATTGGTGCACATATGTATGAACTTCCAGCATATTATGCTGGAACTCCAGCACACGGAAAGTTCCACCATAATATACTGATTGGAGCATTTGTGTATGAACTTCCAGCATATTATGCTGGACCAGTATATTATGCTGGAACTCCAGTATATTATGCTGGAAGTTCACATGTAAAAAATTCGAACTCCAGTATATTATGCTGGAATATTTTCTGAATTTTGAACAATATTTTCGTTCAAATTTATCTTTACATGAAAAGTGGCTAAATTTCGATTACTTTTGAAACTATTATTATTTTTCAATTACCACTTGTAAATCTGGCTATTTTTGAATTTCACCCATTAAAGTTTCGTATGTTTTCACTTCACAATTTTATCACTTAGACCTTCAATTTCATCAACTTTTTATATTATATTTGTTTGTTTCCCCAGCTTATGTTGTCATCTAGTGTCGTACGCATATTGTTTTCATGGCTATTTTCAGCCATAGTTGTTTTCTTTGAGCTTTATAAAGATTGCATTGGAAAGTTCTTCCAAATTAAACTCAAATTATTCCTAAGAGAAAAAAATAATTAGTTTTTTCTCACTTATCTAAACTAACTAATGTCTAGTTATAGAACTAAAGTCTTTTAGAACAACAAAATCATAAAGCTTCATAGGTCGTTCGTCCTCTTTGTACTACCATAGTTTGACTTTATTAGATGTGACAGATGCAAGAGTCAAGTTAAGATAGGTCAAATCAATAAAATGAATTATGATTTTACTCGCTTGAGATTAACTTGACCTAAAATTAATTAGAAGGGCGTTTGGTTAAGTTTAGAAACTAAATCGGTTTATAACTTACTTACACATTTTGTTAGCACCCAAAATACTTATATGACAAGTACTTACAAGCCACAATCAGCTAAAAGGTATAATTTGATCACCTCAATGTATAACTTTTCAACTTATAATAGGCAGTTTTAGTTTGATCAAGATTTTTATTATTTTATTATCCTTAAAAAATAATTTTTTATTCAAAATATACCTTTCCTAAAACAAAACTCATAACTTTATCTTCATTCCACATTCGTCATTCCTCCTCTCCTTCACAAAGAAGCTTTTAAATTTATAATCTTTATAAGAAATATAATTGTATTTTAGTCATTTTAGCAAAAAAATAACTTATGAGTATTTTTTATTTAACATATCGGCACTTCAAGCTTATCAACTATTTACGTTCAGCTAATTCAAACCTGCTAATCAAGAAGGATTACAAAATAGATTATAGCCCAATGACACGTCTTTAGTCGTTAACTAAGTACACGTGCGACACTTGACAATTTAATCACGAACTTGCACAATTTGCTCACGTTCTTGCTATGCCAAGTCACCCTTACTACACTCAAGATCGCTAAGAGAATGGTAGAAAGAGCACAAGAGAATTGTTAAAGGAAGCTTTGTATTAGAGAAAGCTTGAATTGTTTGCTTGGTGGATTACAAATGAATGATCCCCTTTATATACTAGTCTTTTAGGGGCTAGTGTGTAAATATTAATTGTTACACAAGTCCTTAATATTTACAATATAAGGGCTTTCTCTAGAATTCTCTACAAGCTTAGAAGATTCTAAGAACTTTCCTAACAAATTCATAGGGATCTAAATGTCCATACTTCTCTAAAATCTTCTCATAAATGCTAGCCTTTCTCCTATGTAAGCTTCCACTTGGCATTAATATATGCCAAATATCGTCTATGTGGCACGATGACACGGCGGGTCATCACACCAAGGAGACTTTTTCCTATTGAAACGAGGATGGAAACTTTTCTGAAAGACAAAGTTAGTCATCACTCAAGAATGAGAGGGGGTGTTCGAATATTTTCTTGCTTCCCACATACAAATTCATTGGTTTTGGAAGGGTGCATGTATTCGCCTTATCCAGCTTACACAAATAATATTCGTCTGATCTTTTATCTTAACTCAGCAAATTAAAATATCGTTGCATCCACGCGTAGGATAACTCTTGATTTATTATTTAATTTTTATATCAAAACGTTTCTAGTTAGAATTTCATTAACGTCTCTACATTTTGGTATATCTTCAGCAAATCGTTTACGGTTGTGAGTCTTGTGACTATATTCAATTCCGGAACTATATATATCCATATTTAGATTAGTAGATCACCTGACACGTATACAAGAACTGAAATTAAATAGACATTTTCTCACAATCAAACTATTTTAATAGGCGCTAAAAAAAGACAGACCGATGCTTTAAAGTTAAAACTCCCCCTATGTGTGATAGGATCAAACCCTATTAGGTTTTATGCACGTAGCCTCATTTTCTATTTCTACTGTTTTCATGACTTGAACTAGTGACGGATGTAGTGTAGTATCACCGAGTTCAACTGAACCCATAACTTTTGATGCGGAGTAAAAATTTGTGTGTAAAGATTCATTAAAATTATAAAAATAGTAGATATGAACCCATAAATTTTAAAATATAATGGGTTCAATGCTAAAAACTTTAAAAGTTAAACCCATAAAATTTAAATCCTGGATCCGCTTCTGACTTGAACCTTCGACCTTTTGGTCACAAGGCGATAACTTTTACTGTTGCGTACCAAGACTACCCTTGTATTTAACTAGGTAGGCGCTAAATACAAAATTTCTTGCCACAATCAAATTTTTTAAAGAAAATGAAATTCGAGCCTAACTCAATTACAAAGTTGGCTCATAAAATAAGGGCTCATACATTCAATTAAGTGGGACTCTAACACTCCCCCTCTCCCCTCCTGTCAAGAGCTAGACATTAAAATCAAGAAAATCAAAATGTGGGAGCTTAACACTGAATAGATCAAGAATTTGTAAAAATAATAAGATTTAACTCAACTCCACATATAATACTCAAAATTGATGATTGTTCAATGTCAAAAAATTATAATCCATATATAGTGGCGGAGCTACAAACATAGATACGGGTCCGACGCACCCAGTAATTTTTGCTCAAATCTTATATTTCTATTAAAAAATTTATTAAATTTATATAAATATTTAATTACAAACTCAATAACTAAATAAGCTATGAGTTAGATGATAATTTTAAAATCGATAAACTTCAAATCCGGCTCTATCTCTATTTATATACTCAGTTAATGTGGGACTTCAACAAAAAGGCACCACAACAGAAAGTGTCTGATAAATTTTGACACCTCAAAGACAGCTGTAGTTGGCAAGAGAGGTGGCCTACCATTTAACGTCGTCCAAAAAAGTACTATTCAGTAGAAGCATCACGGGTATTTATTTGGAAATTGCAAAATTGCAGCACGTATTCCTACAATTAAAAAAAAAACCGAAATTGACATAACAGGCCGTCAAAGAGGTGGAATGTTTCTCAAAAAGTTGTTCTGAAAGGTTTAGAGAAGTTGTTTTGTCGTATTTCATGCGAAGGTATTTGAATAAGCACGAAATTATAAAATTAAAGAAGAATCTTGATATATAAATAAAATAAAAAATATACTTTTAAATGTGTGGTAGTGAGAGTTTTATATGTCTTTTTAATTTCTCTATTCTTATAAAGAATGTACTTTTATATCAAGTGAGTCTCAATAAATCATGTCTTTAAAGGTAACTTGAGGAAGTTAAAATTAAGTTGTTCCAAGAACAAAAAGATATTTTTAGGACAGACTAAAAAGAAAGTGCGTCGTATAAAACGAGAACAAAAAGTACATACCAAAATGATGCAAGAGCATATATCTCCAAAACCAAATGATATCGTAAAAAGGATATATATTATTATCTAGTTAATAGTATAAATAAATATTTACACAAGTAGTATAATTTAACATGAAATAGAAAGTTGATGTTTTCCCCCCCGAGTTATTAATCAATGATTATGGAGAGTTACCTTTAATACTTTTAAAGTAACCTATTACTTCTTTCGTGTCTATTTATATGTAGTAGTTTGATTCCGGATAAAATTTAATAAAAAAATAAAGAGTGTAAAAGGCTTTTGTGGGGCTTTGAACTTGTGTTTTTATAAAAGATTCTTTTTAGGGGCAAAATGAGTAAAATAAAAGTTAAAATTAAATTATTTCTAAATATAGAATTTGTTATTATTTTTTAAACGGATTAATTAGCAAAATGTATCACATAAATTGAAACGAGGGAGTAGTATAACAAGTTTTTATACCGTGTATAAAAGTTATATTTAGAGATGGAGCTAGAGTTCTATTAGCTCCATAGTTTTGGCTAAAATCCTATATTTGTGTTACAAAGTCTATTGAATATCTATGAATAATTTATCTAGAATGCAGTAAACTATTTTTTTCTAAAATCTAGAAGCCATAACTTTTGACACGGAGTAATTATTTATATGTAAGAATTTATTAAAATTTTAAAAATAATAGATATGAACTCATAATTTTAAAAATATAACAGGTTCAATTTTAAAAACTTTAAAAATTGAACCCCATAAATTTTAAATCTTGGATTCGCCTCTGCGTCTTATTATACCCAAAGAAGATTTTTTACACGGGTAAAAAATCGTTTACACACTTGATACCACATCTATATAAGTGCACTTGCCAATCACATCAGGATATAATAATTTGAGACAAACATACTTATAATACTCCCTCAAACCACGTATAGAGAAAGAGAGAAAGTGAGAAATTAAGAGAGAAAATGTGTTTGATAATATATGGTTGTGATGCAGAAGAAAAAGAGCTAGGAAGACAAGCTGCATCTGGAGCTTGCCCTTCTTGTGGTGGCAAAGTTCAGGCTGTTGATGTTGAGAGTCGTTGGAGGCTTTGTTTCCTTCCCCTTTGCTTCATTATCAAGAGAAAATTTCAATGTACTCTTTGTTCTAGGAGTTTAGTCTTGTATTCTTCGTGAACGATTTTCTTGGGCCGAATGTTTATCTGAAACAATCTTTTCACCTTACATAAGGTAGGGATAAGATTTGCGTATGCCCCATCCTCCTCAAATTACTGGGTATATCGTTGTTGTCGTTGTCGTATTCTCTCTTTTCCCAATTCCACGAGGATGAGTTCTTCACTTCTTCCTCTTCCAATTAATTCCTTTATTCTTTTTTTGGATTATTGGTGATGTTCAAGTCAACTTGCATCTTTTTTTTATTGTACCTGTTACTTTTCACTTGTACAATTACACAGTAACCCTTTTTTCTTCTCGCTGAGATTTGAATCCTGATTTCTAGTGGTTTTCACTCATTTAATTGACCGCTAGGTCACACCGTTATTGCTATTCTGGTTTCCGTTTTAGGTTATTATGTTTTTGTAAATACAGAGAGATATGTCTCTCCTTTTTTTGTTCTTTGCAAGTCTCATTGTAATTTCAAGATGTATGGTCAAGCACTATTCTTTAATTTTTTGTATAGGGTGAGAGATTGATTTCCGCTACATTTTGATTGATATATTATCAAATTTTAATATCACAATATTCTGAAACACATTGTTATGATTTTGAATCCCGGTGATTTCTGTACTAATTATGTCTTACTGAATCTTCTTTACTCCCCTTAACTCTGTAAAATGAAAAAGGATTGTAACCTTCAAAATTTCAGTTTCTGCAATGTGATTCTATATACTCTTTTTTTAAAAATATTTCTTAAAAGTAGAAACCTTCACACTATTCTTTCGTTTTTCATAGTATTGGACCTTATTTACTTATTATTGTTATTATTTTTCATCTATTTTCTGGTCCTTATGATGTTGTTAATATTTCTATGGTTTCTATTGATGGAACTGATATATTATCTCTTTTCGTCTTCTTGAGCCGAGAGTCTATTGGAAACAATATTTTTACTCTCTCGGGGTAGGGATAAGTTCTGCGTATACACTACCCTCCCCAGACCCCACTTGTAAAATTTTATTGGGTTGTTGTTGTTGTTGCTTAAAAGTAAAAACCTGGCAGACTAGTTGGAAAACAATGTATTTATGACATTGTAATTTCTGAAGTCCCATTTTTTTTTATTGATGCTGTTTACCCGGAAAATCGGATATAGTTATATTTATAAGTAGTTCTAAGAATATGTGATATAGTTTGACATAAATCGTACGTAGAAGTGGAAATGTTTAGATTGGCTATAAAAACGGGAGATAAATTATTGAACAAGAAGAGTGAGTATGCTGAGTAAAACAAGCTCAAGAGATTTATTCTTCAATAAGAGAAGTAGTCTTTTCTTACAATGTGTGAACCTGCCCTGCGCTTACAAAGATTCCCTCTTTTATAGTAGAGGGATCTTACTTTATTTATAATAAAAAATATATAGTGAAGAATCCATGATGAATTGTCTCTTTCTCGATTCCCGCCAAGATTCTCTCCCCTAGTGCGGTTGCAACGGCTCTTGTCTGCGAGCTCGATACTGGCTTGAGCTCGGTATTGGGTCGAGCCCTTAGCTTTGGTTCGAGTTTGGCATTCGGGGTGAGTGTTAATCGGTCTGTGCGTCTCCGACAACCTTCACGTTGCCTTGCGGTTCGATTTGGTCATGAGCTCGATAATGATATCGAGGCGATTCCTCGATAGATCTTGGAACTCGAAGCTTGTTTGTACTATCTTCGGAACTCATCTCGAAGTCTCACTTCGGTCGCTTACTATTCGAACTCGATCAAACGTACGAAGGCCGAAATCTATTTCGACCGTATACAGATAGTCCCCTCGTTTCTCAGGAAGAATGTGGTGAGAAGTGATATGATTTTCAACGGCTCGATCGGGTTATAAGCTGACGTTTTCACTGGGCTCGATCATGATGTACATGATAACTGTCCGTTGATTTAGTCTTTCAAGGTATTTAATGCATGTCAGACGGTGGTCGGCCACCACTGATACTGAACCGCCACGGTATAAACCTATAAATAACCCTTCCATTTATCATTTACCACTTTTACATCTTCAATCTTCCAAATTTTCTTACTCTTTCTGCCTCTATTTCGCCGCTTGTAGAGCCACATTCACCAGCGTTTGGCACCATCAATCTTTCATCTTCCTTTGCTTTTCTTTTTCTTATATCAATGGCAAAAACTTCAAAAACCGTACCTCAGAAGGAGAAAGCTTCCTCTTCACAACCGTCTGGCGACAAGGCGCCGGTGGAGCCGCCTCCCCACGAGTATGTTCCTGGCCCGTGTACTCTAAAGATCGATTTTAAGGTTGAAAATCCTTCATCGGGTCCGGGTCGATGTGAGCATGTGTCGATGTACATGTGCTCGATAACAGAGGGCCATCTCGAGGCTGTGAGGAAAGACTGCAACTGGGGTCCCGAGGTTGTGTTCCAAATTCCCTCTTCTGAAGAGAGCATCATCACTCATGTGGAGGGGTTTTTAAGTGTTTATACTTACCTCTTCACGTTGGGTCCCGTCGACCCAGTGATCATTGATTTTTGCAAAAGATATCAGGTCACCCTCGGTCAAATTCATCTTTCTCTATGGTGCATAGTAATCTTACTTCGCTTCTTCTCCAACAAGGCCAGGGGGCTGGATTTCACCCTAAATGACCTCATACGATTGTATCAGCCTCAAATCTTTCGAGGACTAATCATGCTCCAGCGTCGGGCATCGAAAGCTTTAATGTTGAGCATCGACGAAGACAAGGATCGGGGTTGGATGGGCCGTTATATTCGAGTGAGGACCCGTGATCTTATCCCGGAAGAGAAGATGATGTTCCCCGAGGAATGAAATTTCGACCGTAAGTGATTTTTATAAGGCATTGCTTTTTGTCTCTTTCTCTGATTCTATCTGATATCTCCCTCCGATATACAGCTGCCTCTTAGATGCCACAAGCGGTACCCGACCTCGAGGATTGGGTTCGGAAGTTAGCCTCGACTTCCTCTTATGCCAAACGCGCTTGGCGTGATTTAGAGAAAGGTAGGTGGGAGGCCAAAAATCACGGTAAGGGTAACTTCTCATGTTTTTCAAAATGTTTTTTATGCTCCATTCGTTACTGACTTCCTTTCATGCGGGCATAATGAAGGATGCTGTTTTGAGGCCTTCGAGTGGTGAGGAAGGAACCGAGTCCCCGGTCCCGAAATCGGGGATAGATAAAAAGCAAAAATCTGTCTCTCGGTCAAAGAATCTCAAGCCCAAAACTCGAAAGGTAAGGAGGAAGGCAATCACTCTTTCGATGGACTCGGTCCAACGACTGAGAGAAGACGAATAAGAAGAAGAAGAAGAAGAAGAAGAATATGCTTTGGCTTTGGTGGTCCGATCTGCGAAAGCTATCGAGGTCGTCAGACCTTCTGAGCCGATGACGGTTACATCGGTCGGGGCCAGTTCCAATACCCCGAGTCTCAATCAGAGCATCCCGAGCGATTCGCTTGGGACCATGATAGTAGGTCATTTGCCTTCTCCTCCGACCTTTTCTGAGGAGGCGTTAAAGGAAGCTCGAGAATTGAACACCCCCCGATATGGGCGGAGGCTCTAGTGTAGGGGATCATTTTCGAGATTTCTTTACTGGAGTCGATGATGCCTCCGATATTAGTGACGCCTCTCTTCTCCTAGAAGAGGCCCAACGTTTCATTTCTCGGGTAATGATTTTACCGCGCTTGGTTTCTTCGTTCTTTTCTAACCTGACTTATGTTTTTTCCTTTCTGTGTAGGCCATTAGCAAGTTTCGAGCCGACCTTAGCCAGTGTGAGGTCGAGCTTCAGAAGGTCTCGGGGGAGAGAGATGCTCTGCGGCTTCTTTGCGGCCAAAAGGACGAGGTTATAAAGGACCTCCAAGCAGATTTGGCTAAGGCTCGTGAAGAACAGACCGAACTAGATAAACAGTTAAGCCTCGTTCTGTTAGAGTATGGGTTTGGCCCAACTGTGGAAGCTGACCCTTCGTTATCTCAGCTGCAGCAAAAGGTTGAAAAGATCGGATTGCTTCGGGAAGAAGTCGATCAAATCAAGGCCGAATGTGATCGGTGGAAGGAGACTATCGACCGCCTGGCTGCAGAAAAAGAAACTATCTTGGCCAAATTATCATCGGCCGATGTTCAGCTTCGAAGCGTCAAGAAAAAAGGTTCGGCTCAGGCCAAGAGGATTGAGGAGCTTGAAACAAGGCTTGTTGAGGCCAAGGCGGAGATTGAGTCATCAAAAGTCATGGCGGACAAGTCTATTGCTGTGTATCGGGCCGATGCTGAGGCTGCTCAAATGGAGGCAAAAGAGATAGCAGATACTGCCAACACTCGAGCACATTGGGTTGCCGAACTTGCTAAGTGTCGATCTCGGAGGGAGACCTTCGACGAGATACACGCTCGAGGTTTCGAACTTGCTGAAGAGATAAAAAGGGCCAAAGAACTCAAAGCTGATGCTAAAGCCTTGACTTCTGATAGAGGCGATGATGATGATGATGATGATGGTATCAAGAG